ACAATGTAGTACAACTAAACCCTGATGAAAATAAATATTATCTTCTCACACCATATCCCACATTAATGCAATCACTCAAAAAATTTTCACCAGAAAGCATTCGCGCTATTGCTCGAAACCCAAATATAGACTTACAATCAATAGGAATCTATTCAAAATCAGATATTCAACATCACATTAGAACACAACAATTCCAAGAATTATTAACACAAATGGACACTATACAAAGACAATCAATAGACCAAAATTTACGCAAACTTGCAGAAACCGCAGGATTTGCCGATATCTACACGCAAGACTATAGCGGATATTTTAAAGACATCAAAGATTATATATATCTAAACGGTGAAAAATACCGTCCCCAAGATATATCACCAATTAACATTTTTAGCTTTGTTACACTCAAAAATGAGATCCTCGATTTTCTAGGATGGCCCTACTACATCTTAGAAAAATTGACTATTTTATACGCAATGTTTAACTTTATTGGATTTCTTTTCTCACTTTTAAAAGGAATCTACAACACATGTGCTATACACACACAAGTAAACAGACAAGCAAGTGTAGCACGCATACTATTTGCAGGATTTTTTGGAATCTTTTCTACATCTATAAACAAAATTCTTTTAGACGCACAAATAAAAGAATATAACACAAAAATAACAACACGACAAAATACATACGACGAAGAACATAACAATGTAGACATAACGCCAACGGCACCACAATTACCAGCCCTACCAAATAACCATCCACTATCCCTAGTCCCACGAAATTTTCGAAACTTAGCCATCACACATAATCCAAATTTTCGACTCACCACATCACAAAGTCCCATTCAACATATAATGACACACCAGTCACAAGATGATAATACTTATGAACAAATTATTGAACAACCCCATACCACCGCTTTTCAGTCTCAAAATAATCATTTTTTTAGCCCACGATGAGCCGCCAACTTGGATCACTACACCGATCAAATTCCCACCCAACCAATCTTACCTCTCCAATCCCAATAATACCACTTTTTGCTTTTCCGCCACCCGATTTTCCATCTAGTAATGTAACATCAGGCATGAATTCCGACACTAATTCACACATCTCAGTTTTATACTCCATCTCACAGCTAAATAACCCGAATATTGAAACCCCCGATGAATTCGCCGACTCAGAACCATCCCCATCCAATAATTTTCATAACTCTTCTAATTTTTCTCAACCCCCTTTTCAACCCATATTATCCAATAACCCTGACCCAATTACTCCCACACCCTCTTATGCTTCCCAAGTTACCCCAACCTATTCCTCATACCATTCTGACCAATCATCTCATTCTCCAGACACCCCCCGAATCTCCCCAGAGCTAGATAATTTTATTACCCTTCAACAACAACCCTACCACCTTAATACCCCAACCATAAACCAAATCTCCTCCACAATAAATTCATCCAACCCCCCTACCCCTACACCCTCTTCAACTTATACTGAATCATTAGCACCATCATCCCCATCAACTGAATCTTCACTCAACACTAATAGAGCTTACCGCACTTTTAAAAGAAAGTTCCCCAACCATCCTTTCCCAGCAAAACCAGGAACAGCCCGTGAATACATCAACCACCCCAAGCATACTAACACAAAAGAATTTTTAGCCATCACCTTACCCTCATTCCCACAATACACCTTAAACACCCCCCACGACACTAACGAAACACGCAACTTCGTAGATGAATACGTTTTAATGCCTACTCTCTCTTGGACCTCATATTATCATTTCACTAACCCTCTTTGCTTACCTTTATCTAACACTCACATCGATATAGAGCGAAATACGGACATACTATATCGACTCACTACACCACTAACACCTAGACAATTTACTTACGTTGGATATAAAAAATCACTAAAAACACACACTGCACCTAGAGCTAACGAATATACACTCGAATACTATGACCACAACATCATCAGAGCTAACCAAGATCAATTCTTAGACGACGATCGCTTCGCTAATCCACAAATTACCGAGAAATTTTTCATCAAGACACCATATACATTCACACTAAACATCTTCGACCGAAAGTTTGATCACATTATTTCAGAAGCACTAACAGACACACAAGCATACGAAAGTTTTAAAGAACGCTTCCAAATATTTTCACTAACCTTTCATTTCCTTGCACCACACGAAAGAGATTTACACTGCTCACACGATATTATGTTGCGCACTAAACAAACCCACACATATAGTTATTATCGTTTCATCCAAAATCACTTTGACCTACACACACCCTCTAGACAACCACACCATCGTTTTCAATTCATTAATTCCAAATACACTTCACGATTTTTCCTAAATTTCACATATTGTATTAAAGACACTAACCTCCATGGTATTCTTCGTAATTATGACCCCATAACCCAAATGTACATCTTCTGTCCCATTACCAAGACCTTCAACGCCGAAGAATCCCGACCCTTCCTTATCCCGCACGAGTTTGTACAACCCATAGAAATCCCAATTTTAGAATTCATCCACAACACTAAATTCAATCACAAATTATATAACTTAATCCAAAACACACCTTATGAGTTTGCAGTTGGCACTGAAGAACTAACCACTATTAAGGCACTTCAATTGCTTTGGCCACTGCTTCAAACTAAAAATATCATCCGCATCTTAGCTAAACTACTAACAACTTCAGAACTAATTCACGACATCTTTCCCCACGGTTTTTTCCCCGACGACTAACAGGTAAGTATGAATTAAATGAATATTACTAACTAATTAAAATATTAAAAAACTCACCATACTTTATTTATGTTTTCTTTAGATTTTTAGCCTTCATCCGACGATCACCTACAAAAACCACAAAAGACAAATAAAAATCGCAAATTTCATCAAACAGATTTCAAAAATTCTATTAATCTCTTACACTTATAAATTTATAAATTTAATACCAATGCAGTAAATTCATTTCTAAAATTTTCCCCCACAAGCAGTAAATCTAATTATGATGAAAATTTGTATCTTAATATTCCCCCATGACTAGCAGTAAATTTCTAAATTCTATGTAGTAAGTTAAATAAATGCAAATGCAGTACTAACCTTTTGATATTTTCATTCATTCGCACAGAAATTCTATCCACACTCGCACAGCTCGCCCACGAAGAATTGTTTAAAATAATGAATTTCAGTTTCAAGTTTTCACACTCAACAACTCTAACATATAATAACATGTTTCAAACTTTCCTTTAACCCGGTTGGAAAGGAATCATATACTAAACAAAACTAACCAACGCAGCTTACTAAATACCACAAATCATAGAATAACAGCATGACTAAGAAAAGGAAACCAACGGTACCCAAACCGGATTAACCCAGTTTAAAACTGGATAATTTATTCTTTTGAAGACTATTATAAAGTCTAAGAAAGAAATAATAAAACACAAAAAAGTCGAAAGACAAACCCATACCACGAACAATTTGCTTTTTGGAAAAAGGACATAACCAACAAGACATAAGAAAAACCACAACAAACCCAACATAAAACGTTGTCACATAACAGGACCCCTCACAAAAAACCGCATGAAATCATACTCCCACTCCTGGCCTAACCCACCAGGAAGGACGTCCTGAGCATGCTCTATAGCCGGCCTAACCCACCGCGCTACATCCACGCTTTGTGACCACACCACTATTTTTAATAAGAGCTACTCAAGTGTGAGTAACTCTTCAAAATAACCGAACTAAAACAAAAAGCTTTTGTGAAAACAACTAACTAAAATCATTATTAAAAAATATTAAACTAATAAAAGTTTTATAAAATGTAAAATCACATGATGCAATATATAGATCAGAATACAACACCAAGGACGAACATCAAAAGACAAGACGACCCCACTACACTCGAGAGAGAATGACCAACTACAATCGATATGCCGCTCACAATCACAACTCAAAGGATTTAGAGTACGACTTGACTTCGCAGAAAAGGACTTCATTGAACTAGACCAATGACCACCTCGATGTTCAAGTATACGTACAGATCCGAGTAACCAGGCATCCCCTCCACGCACAATCTCCACGCCATTCCCAAACTAGATCATACACAAAAGAAGTTCTCCACGCAGAACAGAAAAACCTGACATAGCAAACCATTCTGAAATCAGATTTGAGTTTGTTGCAAAGACGTAGTCGTTGTCACTAGAAGACACAACGTCTTATGTCTCTAACTCCAGCTTCCTGGAACTTCCCTAACAAAAGAGGAAACGGAAGAAAATTATGATGTTCGCCAAAAACAAACGTCCATCATCCATCCTTCGAATTGCAGAAGAACTATTCTAAAAAACTCTGTAAAACCCGGATGGGTGGAACCTGATCTAAACTACATTTTATGATTGGATAAATTAAATGTTTTACCAATGTAAAGTATTTAATATTAACCAATCATGATCCATCTAACTAACAACCCACTTATTTGTAAGTGCTGAAGTTACTTGTAATTTCAGCACCAGAGAGATTTGAATTTAACTTAGAAATTAGTTGGACTCTCCCGAGCACTTCAGCAGCCGCAATAAACCAGTATACCCTAGATCTATTGAGGCTAGCAGAGACTAGTTAAACAACCTGAGACTAGATAGTATAAGAGTAAGATTAGGATCGGTATTAGACTAAGAAGTTGCACGAATCTATCCGGCCGAAAATAAGATAGCGTGACGAGCAGACGGTGTACCCTATCCGAAATTACTCTATGAGTTACACTTCGGTCCTAACTCAATTTGAAGAAAATTTTTAATGAAAGATTTTCACATTGTCAAAAATGTTAATTTGAAGAAAATTTTCAATGAAAGATTTTCAAATTGTCAAAAATGTTCATTTGAAGAAAATTTTTAATGAAAGATTTACAAACTGTCAAAAATGTTAATTTGAAGAAAATTTTTAATGAAAGATTTTCAAATTGTCAAAAATGTTAATTTGAAGAATGTTAATCAAGATTCTGGATGAGACGCTGAACCCCACGTGGGATGAGATGCTGCTGTTCCCTCAACTGACTCTGGACTACTCGGCTGCTGTGCTCAAAAACCAACACAAGATGCTCATCGTTGTCGAGATATTCGACGCCGATTCCATGGTTAACAAACTGCTATTCAATAAATGAACCGAACCGCTGAACGAGAACTTTGAAAACGGACCATTTGGTCTATTGAACTTGTACAAAATTTTGTATAACAAATTTTTCGTCAATAATTGAGCCGCCGAACTCAGAGAAGTTTAAAAATGGACCATTTGGTCAAATCAAATTGTACAAAACTTAAAATTTTTCTGATTATAAGCCTGAAAACAATTTATTATTACCATTATTTTTCTGATTATAAGCCTGAAAACAATTTATTATTACCATTATTTTTCTGATTATAAGCCTGAAAACAATTTTCATTTACTATTAATAAGATCAAAAAATTGTTTAATAGCTTGTAAAAATGCTAATAACAACGTTTTACGCTTGCGATTAACATGCTTTATCAATATTTTTTTTGGAAATAGACGTTTCTTTGAATTATGTACATATCGGCGTAAATGACGGTGTTAAAAATTACGAGAAAAAAATACAAAAATTGGTATTTTTGACGTAAATGGTAATTGATAAAACTTGATTGCAAACTATAATCTTAAAAATAGAAAACAGAGAAACACATCTCGTTTAAATTTTGTCACATTTCTCTAATTTTCAAACTCTTTCCTCTAAAATTCACTGTTTAAAAGAAAGACGAGATTTTTTTTTTTGAATAATGGAGTGGTTTACGTTTGATCTTTAGAATAGAGTGGTTTGACCTTTACAGGGTTCATACGAGTTCATCGGGCGCACCAAAGTGACCCCAGTGGTGAAGGAGGCGTGGGTGAGTTATGAGAAGCCAGACTGGCCCCCCGATCTGGAGTGGCACCAAGTGCACAGGGGGGCGGAGGCAGCAGGCGAACTACTCGCTCAATTTGAACTGCTTGAGGTGAGTACCAAACGGATTAGCTCTGTTACCGACCCCAAAAATACGATGTTTAAGTATGCTTCATTTGGTTAAAATCACAGGTGTGGGATGCGACGAACGAGCAATATAAGGGTACTATAAGGTGGTCATTTCGGTTATCAGTCCAAAATAAACAAAATTGGTAATTTCAACACGTTTTTTTTTCAAATTGGTTAGCTATAAGAGGAAAAAAACAAAATGAGAATAAATTCGCTTAGATATTCACCAGTATTAATATTGTGCATGTTACTTTGTGAATAACCCTAAAATTGGCCATTTTGGCTTCTTTTAGTCAAACTAAAATTACGCTAAAACTACCGAGTCGCAAATCGCTGAGAAAGTTCGTAGTTTAATTGATCATAATTAGGCTCTTATGTAGGCCAAAAGAGGGATCCTGTCTCCAATAAATAGTATAAAAAAAATTGTATAACAGCCAAAACAAATTTTTTTAACAAAATTACCATACCGATTTTTGTTCCGACCATTGAAAATTGGGAAGAATTTTGTATTCGGATGTGTTTTTACACTTTCGTATTGCGAGTTTTACAGTATTAGTACGAATCTTCTTTTTGTCTAACCTAAATCGCAAATGAAAGTGTCCATTAAAAGTGTTCACATATTTGGTGGCACTTTTGCTATAATCACAGTCGGTAGCATTGGAAGTTTTATAGAATTTATTCTCTGTTTTGTTCGTGGCTAGTGGTTGTAATGTATTAAGCGCCGTGGCTAAGTGGTTAGTGCGTGAGACTCTAAATCTCTAGTTCGCAGATCGAAGCGGAGACAGTAAAGCCAAAATTTTACTAATTCGATGCTTATTTCTTTTTATTGCACTTTTTAGAGCTGCTTTTTTCGTGTTCGCGCTAGCATTTGCGAAGCACAGCTTCACCTCTGTGTTGATTTTTTTGTTTCATTTTGTTTTCCATGCACAACCAGGTACCACAATAAATCATCGAAATAGGTTGAGTGATATATCAGATTAAAACTATTCAGTCGTAATTCGAACGACATGAGAAAAACTTCAAAAGTTTATCCCGTTGTTCACAAAAACCGACTTGAAATTTTTTCCGAGCGAATTTTAGTCTGAGCGAAACTTTTTGAGCGAGGTGTGTGCCCGCGTAACGTTCGCTATATTAAAACTAGGATAAAAAAACTTGATATAAAAAACATCGGTTTTGCAAGCTTCATTTATCGCTTCTTTTGCCCATGAAAACTTTATACAAAACTTTGTTTAAAAAAATGTGCAAAAAATGATTTTTTTTCCATTTTGACATTTTTGATTGTGGCTTAAACTTTGTTGAAAAATAGGTGACGATTATGTTTAATTCAGTATCTTTTAAAGGGTAAGTATAGCTCTCTCGTCAGACCACGCACTAACAATGACTCTGATTTGAAGAAAAAACGTATTTCTTAGTTTTTTATGATTGGTCGGAACATTCTGTGCCACTTGCCGAACTACTCGCTACCTTCGATCCATTTCAAAATTTCTTCATACATTTTTTGCAGATAATTGTAATCTTGAAATAACGTATAAAAAACATTTGACAATGTTTTTACTCAGAAACCTTGGTAATTTTACCCAAGGAAAATTTGACCAGCGTCAAGTTGCTAACTCAATTTTGTTCCAACCCAAGTCGCAAATAAAAAGTTTTAATTTATTTGGTGACACTCTTGCAGCATCATATCATTTTAATTTTTTTGCATAGTTTCAAGCCTTGATATCTGGTTGATTGATGTCCAGGTCCTGCTTGATTGATAATATCAAATATTATAAAAAAAAATTGGGATTTGTTAATTGTTTTGTTTTTATCGAAACAACAAGTGATAGGAATCCTCCCTCCTCTATAACAGCTACACATTTACAACCAATTCTGAGGTTCGAAATTGATTCGAAAAAACAGGTATTGTGACGCCCTAAATGTTCGATGAAAAATGTTTCGCTTAGAAAAAAATTATGAAATTCTACCCTTTTTTGGAGACTTTCTGTTTTTTCAGGAAAACTACTTCGCCAATTCTAAGGTTAACAGTTCGATCAAATTTGATTTTTTACCCAATTTTGTACTTTGTTTAGTTTCCAAAAAAACGACTTAAAAAGTCTGAATTTCAGGTTTCAGTCGAACGAAGTTGTTTTACATTCCCCTCAAAAGATAATTTTTGTGTACTATATGGCCTAGATAAATGCCCATTTTACAAATTTTGACATATTTTGAAAATTAGGTTTTACTTTTAACATCCCATTGAAAAATATTATCAAACAGGTACCTCCAGCCTTTTTTTGAGGTGCTTTGAAAATTTATATGTACTTAATTTAAATCTTTGAAAGTTTTTTAAGAACTTTTTTATCAATTTTCAAAAAAAAGACTGGCCACAACCCTTTGTGCTTGCACAACCCGCTATTCTTTTCTTACTTTACTCGACGCTAGGGCCTTCGAAATTATCAGAGGGCAAAATTATTGAGTTTTTTTCTTTTTTTTGAAAAGTACCCTGCTCATTTTGAAATTAAAGATTAACTCAAATTGGTTTTAAAGATTTCTCCCGCATAATCCGCCTAAGATGTACGATACAAAAAATGTCCAAACTTAGACATTTTGGAAACTTTAATTTCTCATTCAAAAGTACTCTTTCAACTCTGAGAATAAGGATTTTAATCGGAAAAAAAGTGGTTAGGAATTTTTCCTGCATAAATAGAAACCATTAGAGCCAAATCTGAGGTTCGAAATTTTAATAAAAAACGAATTTTGTAAAATTTCTATGCACCAATGCTGCCGCCCTCAGTGTTTGATGAACCAGTTTTCGCCTTTGATAAAATACAAATCCTGAAGTTATACCTTTTTTTGAGATATTTGTCTTTTCGAGAAAAATACCGCGACAAATCTAAGGTTGACAGTTCAATCAAATTTTATGTTTTTCACCCATTTTTGTCTTTTGCCTAATTTCCCAAAAGTGACTTAAAATATCTAACTTTCAGAAATCGATCGAACAGTGTTATTTCAAAAACGATTTTTTTGTACTTTTGGTAGGCGTCTAAATTTCTAGATCAATGCCAAATTTTTGACAATTCGACATTATTTGAAATTTATGTATTACCTTTAACATCAGCCTGTTTAAGAAACGTTATCAAACAGGTACCTCCAGCATTAGCAGGTCCTGTAGTGTTTTTTTTAATGTTAAGCGACATGATGCAGATGCTACAACATTTGACACTTAATCTTCAGGTTGGTTTTGTTTCCGGCAAATTGCATATTTTCTTTAGTTTTATTTTTTTTCTTCTTTTCTTTAGGTTATGCCGTTTTTGCGCTTGTGTTTGTGAAGTCGCGGGTTTTCCGCTGTGCACATAGTGAAATGACAATGTTTCGGCTTGAGTTTTACCAAAAAGACATTGGCAAAATTCGATGCACATTTTGTTCTTGTCATTTTTTGTCCAAAGTTAACCCCGATAAAACTTCAAATTTTGTTTGTTTGTTCCGGTTGATTTAAATCAGCAATGTATAACTTTGCACAATTGTCTTAATAATCTTACTAAAACCAATCCAGAGCGTTTAATTTATAACAAGGTGTATCTGAATCTAAAAAGCAACTTCTTAACGCTGATAAGTTATTAACAATGATTTATTGACAGAAAAGTTGCCGTAGTGATCAATGATCTGGTACTGGAAAAATTAACTACGTTTAAATCTATCAACATAAATGACCCAGAATAGTCGAAACCTGATCTATTTTATAGCATTGTTTTTCAAAGGAAAGCCGTGATAACGAGAGAACAGCAATGAGTTGCACTGCGGCATTTACACAATTTCATTGATTAAAAAAAGTCGTACTCACCAATAATCTAGTACTGGACAATTTAATTAAGTATCAGTATCAATCTATGATTAAAGATGGCAAAAATTGCCAGTGCCTGATCTAAGTTACGAAAATGTTGTAATAATTCTAGAGCAGTAATAAATTGCACCTCAATGATTGCTTTTAGAGCCTCCTCTTGTGTGGTATCAGACAAACAACTTTCAGTCGTAACTCGGATTCCTATAAACTGATTGAAATACTGACACACTTTTAAGTAAAATTTTAGTAACCAGAACCAAACTGAAGAAGTGTTTATTTGATAATACAATGAAACAAACTTATATGAGGTACATCTCGGAATAAATAATTTGTTATTATGTAGGTTGGCTCCTACAATTCGCATCACAAACTATTACTTCATTTACTCAAATGATTTTTAGTCGAAAAACTTAGCGTTATTATCTTTTTGATAAAAACGCTTTCTCAAATTAGTTTTGATCGAAACAAAAAAAACTCCACAAGGCTTAGAAAGATTCCAAGAAAAATTGCAATAATAAATTCTTTTTTTTTCCAAAAAAAAACAAAATTTTGCCTTGATTGAAGGTTCTCTTTTACTTTTGCTCATGTTTTTTACTATGTAGTTTGGCTCCTACAATTCGCATAATAAACCATTACTTCATTTACTCAAATGATTTTTTAGTCAAATATCCTAGCCTTTTTACCTTTCGATTGACTTCCAAAGGTTGCGAAGCACAGAGCGTTGTTTATTTTTCATCAAAAACAGATCATGAAAAAGCTAAATTAAACTAATTAAGCATGAAAATTACTAATTTATCGTAATATGATTTTTGAAAACCATGTATTTTCGGGAATTGTATCTCGCTTCAGTGTGTTCAAAAATATTGTTGAAAAATCAAACAACTTGAACTATCATTTGATGCTAGCTTGTTTTCGAACAACTTTGATTTTTGATTCGAACAACTTTCAGCAGTGGCATACAAAGATTACGTATTTCGGTGCTCTGTAAAATTGAACTTAATTGCCGACCATTTTTCGGATCAAATAATTTCATGTTGTAAGTTCAGCTGACCTGCTAAATTAACCTCTTTTTGCTACTCTAAAACATTTTTTGCAAAAACTTTGCATAGAAAGCTGCCCGAGAAAAATTAGACGCCGTCAAATGGTAAGTACGATGGAATTTTCGGAAGAGTTTTTTAGACCAAAATCGAGGGGATCCGCATTTTAGAATTTCTGATTACGGTGAAAAAGCTGGAGAAAATAAAACCCACGTTTTGTTTTTAGAACGGCATTTTTTAAATATAGAACGTATAACGTATATAGAAGTGATGAGTTTTATTTTCTCGGGTGGTTTTTCTCCAGAACATTTTGTAGTTGAAGTTTTTCCGCGGTTTTGATCAAATATCAGGATACTCAAGGATTTGTTTTGATAGAAGCAGTCTTCGTATAATTAAGTTTGAGTAATTCGACACTTCTTAACCGGCGACAATTCGTAACAAGCGACAATTTGCAACAAGAAATGTTTCACGACAATCTACCCGATTCCAATCTACCATATGATGCCAATCTATCTTTTTTATAAAGTTTTAATTGGTCAGAGATAACTGAGCATAATGTTGCAGCGATAACCGGCTCTATTTTTCGTATCGAGCCCTACCCTCTGTTGCCAGGCTGGCAACACTTCGCTCTGCTGCGCTTGCATCCGGCACGAGACGAATGCTGCGCGTGAATCAGTGTTCCCAGCTTAATCTAATGTTACGAATTGTCGTCCGTTACGAATTGTCGCCCCACATTAAGTTTTATTTCATCTCGAACTTGAGGGTAGTATAGCCACTCATGATGTTGCTGTTAGTCAGTCTCGACTGGTAATTGTCTCGACACAAAATCAGTGAGTTGGTTAACGCAGCTACAAATTTGATATCTTGCTTGTTGAAACTGTTTCGTTCTTCAATTTTGATAGGCGGCAGTTTTTGGCCGTCTTCAAGCCTAGTCAAATCGACTTTGTAAATTTCGGACTTGAAATTGTTGTTTGGGTATCTGTCGTCTGAAACGCACAGAAACCCGCGGCTCTCTGAGTCTGTCGCAAGAAACGTGACCGAAAATATTTCGGTGATATTTTCCAGCTGAACTAATAATTTCTTGTTTTTCCCTTCGTCCTGGTCATCAAAACTAACAATACATAGTACATTCTTGGTCGTTTTGAAGGCAAAAAAATTAGCATGAAGAAAATACGAAGCATGGTATAACAATCCGGCTTTCTCGTCCAAATGTAGCACCCGAACCAATTTTTTGTCATGGAGAATAAAACACTTTAGAACAATCGCCCCACGCCTGGTAAAAAGAGCCATGTAATTCCGATTTCCTGAAATAAAGTACGATAGTCCGTTTAAGTCTTGTGGCGGAATAGCAAAATCCTGGACGTTAATTTTTTTTTCTGTTTTCAAGGTTTCAGTATTCAATAACTCGAAATGGACTTTTTTCGATTTGTTATTGTTAACAATAGCAATCAATTTGTCGGAGGCCATGCAAATATTGACTAGTATTGTGCCGTCTTTGCGTTGGTTCCAGTTATAAAGACCCTTGTCAACTAATTGGTCTCTTTCCAAATTGAATTTAGCCAACAAAATTTGATCATTTGAGTCTCCAAAACAAATTATGTTTCCTTTTGTATCCATGACTGCTTTCTTGCAACCGATTAGCGGAACAATCAAAGATTTATGTTTTGATATCGTGAGAAATCTAAAAGTTTCTTCCAAAAATGCATTGTTTTTTCCCGGTGTATTCAAAGTAAGCTCGCGCATAGAGTCAATCGACGATTTCAAACTTTCCTCAGCGCCTTCGAATAGAAAGTTGATGTTGTAAATTAACCCGATGCGTATCATTTTCAAAGACTTAGCCTGTCCTGCCAATTGGGCGAATATTTCCTGAGTCGAAGTTCGGATTTCGGTCCCAGAACTTTCTTCGCTGATTTTATTTAGTCGGTTTTTAGCTTCCTCGATAGCTTCCAGAATTTGACTCAAATCATGTTCCCCGTCTTTAATAGACGTGGATATTTTCTCGACTGACGCTTTATATTTTTCCACTGATTCTGAAAACGGTACTTTTCCAGTTTCTCAAAAACAATCAAAAAACTCTCAAACCCGCGGTTCGGTTTTTTTCATGCTCATTTAACTTCATACTGTATGTGAATTGACTGTACAATCAAAATACATAGTTTTGTCCCATTGAGTTTGTCTCGTGTTTTACTCGTGTTTCACTCGTGTTTTAATTAAGGCGCTTTAAACTTGGTTTCAACTTTCATTTCAAAGCGCAGCCGAAGTTTGTTATCTCAAGCCATATGTAAAAAAAGTCTAAAATCTTAGGAAAAATGAATCTTTTGGCCCATTTTTTTGTCCATTGTCTTGAGATCCCTCCTAAAAATAAAGGTGACATCTTTTAAAGGAAAGATTTTAGGGTTGTGTTGACAAAAAGGGGGTTTTGCAAAGGGGGTCCCCCATTGGTACTATTTTAAAACATTTTGAAACTTACTGCAAAAACATAAAAACGTCATTCCTCTAGAAATGTGTGGAGCACACAAATTTGGAAATATTACTATATGCTATCCCTGAGAGTATTTTGACAGCACCCCTCATTACGAGATCAAACTGTGCACTGGATAGGAGCACAGTTTTGTGTCTGTATGTTCCTGGATTCCAGAGACAAGTCTTAAAATATGTCCCAAAATGTAACTAATTTTGGCTGACCGACTGTAAGCTTTTGAAGGGGGGGGGGGGGGGGGGGGCGTCGGTGTCCTTATATATTAATTTTGACGCAAGCTGAAAAAACGCAACGTTTTGATCAAAACTTTCCAAAACTGCCTATAACACCATTTCTGGCCTGTTTTTCTTTCTACATTCGGCTGCGGCGCAAAAAAATTGACCAAAAGATGGTACTTTTAGTTATTTGAAAGAGATCGGAAAATCAATGTAACCTAAAAATAAAAGGTTGATAATGGACTGGAAAAGATGCCTTTGGTTTCAATGTATTCGTCCAAAATCATCGACAGGTGAATTACGTCGTGATCGGCTGATTGTCGATGATCGGATCTCCAGCACACTCGGCAGATAAAGATATCACATCTTCGGCAAAAATACTCGCTAGGTTGGTTGTGATTAACACATAATTTGGTGTTGTCCGTTTCAGACGCAGAAGTTGCTTGTGTGTCTGATCCATAAGCTCTCATTGCCTGAAATTGTCAAAAATTGGTATCTGAAATTGTCAGATTTTTTGGTCGAGGCATTTTTGGTTTTTTATTTTTTTAAATTTGAATTTAATTTGAAGTCATCGCTTTTTCATTTTCTTTGTGGTTTCATTCTTAGGACGACCAGAACCAAATTTCTTTGAAATGACAAAAAGGAGCAAACTTATCAGGAAAAAATTGAGACTGACCTGCTACAAACGATTCTCTTAAAATATTAACAAAGGTGGAGACCCTTTGTGTAGTAGCGGTGCCGAATTCACAAACAAGAAGCACCAGACCCCCACCTCCCCCCCCCCCCAAAATCAACCTGTTCGCTACGCACTAAAAAGACCGATAATGTATAATGCAAAGCCGATCATTTGTGAAAGTTGCTAGGCTAATTTTGAATGAGCTTTGAATTCTGTACCATCGGTGTCACCCATTTGTCAATCCTGTAGCTCGAAAACTTTTGATCTTTTTACTCATAGTGCTGCTTTCCTTGGGTTGATAGCTTTCATTTACCGCCGGAACCGGTACTTTGACGGGATCCATTAAATTTTTTGTTTTCGTTAGCATGAATTGGATTCAAATAGTAACAAAAACGAAACTTGCGAACCTCACTTGCTGAGCCGAGATCAAAATTTTTTGTCAGTTTGTCCTCATCTAAAACATCGACCAAAATGTCCTGCTTGCAGACGGCACATTTAGGCGGGTCACTTAGGTTCAACAGGTCTGTCAAACAAGTCCTTGGGGACCCGCAGTAGGAATGACCACATGGTAACATGCGAGGGTTCTCGAAGAACTCAAGACAAATGCTGCATTCGAAAGCTTTCTGCAATCGGCTATTCATTTTGATGCAGCAGTTAAATGTATAGCGATGGTATTTGATCAAAAGAGGGTAAACAGTTTTCGGATCTCAATAAGTTTTAGAAAAGTTGGCAATAGATGTTTGAAATTTGTACTTTATGTTTTATGACAAACATTCAACGAATGTCAGGATACTGCAAATATTTGATGATGCAAGATTAATACCGAATGAGTAAGTGCCATTGATGAGTAAGAGTTTTATCATCAGTGATTTAGCCTAAAATTGTTGTTTCAGCTAAAAAAAAATGCTACTTTTCTTATTCAAGTTTTGCTATACAGTTTGAATTGAAACATGTGACATAGTTTCACACTATAATTAGAATTTTTTTTCGTTTTTTAGACTAATTGGCCACCAGCTTTAATGCGAAGAGTGAAAACCTGTTAATCTTCTACAACTTTTCAAAGTTCATTTATGGTATAACTATTTACTTTTATGTTGATCTTTTTTTACCTAGAAAAATTAGAAGAAAACAATTAACAATTTGAGAAAAAAAGAAGTTCAAATTTTTTAAATTTTGCTTTGTTTTAACTTGATCGGATCAACTTGTCCTGCTTGCTCAATATCAGACTTTCTTGCTTTTCTGATTAACGTACTGCTTCTTTGTAATTTGTAAAAAAAAAAATTAAATAAAAAGAGTTTTTGAGAGTGACCTCATAATTTTATCCTCATAACGCTTTCTCAAACTATTTCTGATTGAAATAAAAAAGGAATTTCGACAAGGCGGAAATTTTATCTCGCTTCAGTCTGTTCAAAAACATCGTTGGAAAATCAAACTAGCTAAACAATCATTTGATGTTAGTTTAGTTTAAACAAAAAACTGGTACTTTTGAATCAAACATTTTTCAGCAGTGGCATGCAAAGAATACTTCTTTGGGAGCTCTGTTAAACTGAAGAAAATTGCCGACCAGTTTCGGCGTCAACTATTTTGAATGTTGTAAGTTCAGCTGAACTCCTGAAATAATCTCTTTTTGCTACTTTAAAAAGTTTTCAGCAAAAAGTTTTCATAGAAAGCCGCCTGATAAAAAAGTTGGACGCAGTCAAAAAGTAATGTAGGTTGTAATTTTTGAGAGAGCTTCTTACTACCAAAATCGTGGAGATCCGCATTTCAGCATTTCTGATTACGGTGAAAATGCTGGAGAAAAGAAACGCAAACTTTTTTAGTTGAACTTTTGTTAAATATAGAACGTATAGAGTAATCGATTTTAAACAATCATGAGTTTTGTTCGCTCAATTTGTTTTTCAGCAGAACATTTTATGAATAAAATTTTCAGCGGTTTTTGATCTAACAGGCCCTAATCGAGTTTTTTAAGGTTTTGTTCTGACAAGCAGCTTAATTTAATGTTACGAACTGTCGTCTGTTACGAATTGTCGCCCCACGTTAGGTTTTATTTCATCTCGAATTTGAGGGTAGTAAATCCACTCATGATGTTGCTGTTAGTCAGTATCGACTGGTAATTACCTCGACTCAAAATCAGCGAATTGGTCAACGCAGCTACAATTTTGATATCTTGCTTGTTGAAATCATTTCGTTCTTCATTTTTGATAGGCGGTAGTTTTTGGCCATCTTCAAGCCCAGTCAAATCGACCTTGTATATTTCGGACTAAAAAGTTTTGTTTGGGTATCTGTCGTCTGAAACGCACGCGGCTCTCTGAATCTGTCGCAAGAAACGCGACCAAAAACATTTCGGTGATGTTTTCCAGCTGAAATAATAATTTCGTGTTTTTTTTGTCATGGTCATCAAAAATAACAAAACATTAAACGTTCTTGGTCGTTTGGTCGTTTTGAAGACAAAATAATTAGTTTGAAGAAAAGATGAAGCAAGGTATAATAATTCGTCAATTTTTTCGGTAAATTTAGCTAAATTGGAGGTTAATTGATCTTAAATGACCTAATTTGACCAAAATCAAATAATTTATAAGTAAATTTGAAAAAAGACCTATTATAATTTTGTTTATTTTGAGTGAGATTAATTTTGAGTTTAGCTAGCTCAGATGGCTCTATGTGGCCCACAGCTGGTAATTTTTGGAATAATTTGGAGTTCATTTGTTTTAGTTGTACTTATTTCGACAAAACTCTTTTAAAATGAAAATTTATTTAACTTGGGCAAGTTGGTCTTAACTTGGGCAAAAATGGGCAAGTTTTTTTTGAATGAGATTTTTTTCTGGTTTAATTGGACTTATTCTGACATAATTTGGGCAAAATTCTACTGAAATGGAAAATTATCTGGCTTAATTGAGCTGAATTAAAATGGGCAAATTCTGTTAAAACGAAAGCTTTTTAGCTTTATCTGACTTTTTCTGATCAAACCTGGGTGATGTTTTGTTAACACGGAATTTTATCTAGCTTATTCAGATTTACTATGACCAACATTGGCCAAAATTCTGTTAAAATGGAAGTTTGTCTAGCTTAATCGGACATAATATGACAAAAGTTTGGCAAAACTTTGTCAAAATTGAAGCTTATCTAGTTTAATTGGCTTCAATTTGACTAAAGTTGGGCCAAATTTTGTCAAAATTGAAGTTTTTCTAGCCTAATTGTATCCATTTGAACTGAAATTGGGTCAAATTTAGTTTTAAAATAAATTCTGTTAGCTCTATTGGACTTATTTTGACCAAAATTAAGCAAAACCTTGCTAAGAAGAAATTTTATCTTATTTAATTGGACTCAATGACGTAGATTGGGCAAAATTTTGTTCAAACGATAGTTCATCTAGCCTAAACTGACTAATTGTGACTGAAATTGGGCTGATTTCATTTTAAATGGATTTTTTCTAGCCTAATAAGACTGATTTTGACCACAAATAAGTAAATTTTTGTTAATTTTATAAGAATTTAGCTTATATTAGTGTACTTTTATTGAAACTTTCAGCTAAAGTTCTTTTAAGCTCAGTGAAATTCTTCCAATTTAATCGTCAAAAAAAGTTTAGCCAGGAAAAACAAGCGTTATAGTTCCTTTTTTAATGGGTGCAGATAGTTCCTGCCCTGATTTTGGGCCAAAAACTACTTCCCTGATGAGAGAGTCAAGTTTAGAGTTAAACTAATTTATGTTAGAGGATAAGCCTCTCAAAAAAGTGAAAATAATATAAAGCACGATTGCACAACGAAGAATTGAGACTGATCCTCAAATTAGCACATGTTTTCTTGTGTATACGATGGTGAAATCAATTTATCAAGCATGTAGAGTGTATTTCTATTGCATACAGGACCTCTCACTCCCTTTTTATCACAAAAAATAAAAATTTTAATGACGAGATGATACTTAAAATTGAAATGACAACCTTGATTTTTCTGTGGAAATATGCACTTTCTTTTATTTTAGTTTCCTTCTCTCACAATGTCTTCACACGTTTTTCTTCAATTTGACTCCTGAAACATCTTTAGAACTTTATCTTAATCCGACCTGTCGTGGTGTTTGTTGTATTTGTCATCATCGAATCTGAGTTACAACCCCATTGCTCAGGTTTTGCTCGCATTGCAAACATGTTGCTACCAAAATGCAGCCATGATACTGGGGTTTTCCTTCTGACAATCATAAATGCACTGGAACCTTTGTTGATCCTTCAAATGCTGACTCCATCTTTGTCTAGGTTAATTAAGCGCCTTCAACTTATTACTAGTTTGCACTCTGTTGTTGGAGATCTTCAGAACAATCAAATTTTCTGTGTCTAACATAAAAATTCTGTGTCTCTTTTTAAAATACAGAACCGGATAATAGAAGAATTGTGTGTCGTAAACAAATAAAGTATTGGTATTTTTTATAAGGTAAATAACTTCAAAAGTTTGTAATTTTTTTGTTTTGTTTGATTAGTGTTTTCCCTGTTATGGATATTCTTCTGTCATGAACCAGCTCACCGCAGTGAAAGTTTATGAAGAAAAGTTATTGCATTTTATCAGCCATTGGTTTCAGAAATTGTTTTTTTTGTGCTTTCGGTTATTATCATTGATGGACATGTCCTCAAGACTTACAGTGCAGTTTGTCGATACAATTGAATAATCAAACTTTGATAAAGCTATGTGAAAGTATGAAAGGATAATAAACAATCTATCAAGAGAAAATGTCAAACTTGTACAAGTATTGTCCTTTTTATTGAAAACTCTATTTAATTTCAAAGTATTTATGGCTCGTTTTTTCAATTGTGATTGCTCCTCCATTCAAATCGGCAACTTTTTGATAAAGAAAAATCAGTTTTGATTGATCTGGAAAAAAATAAATTGTCTTCACAATAGCAAGTACATGGTCGACTTCAATTAGAATGTCGTAATCAAGCACAAAAATGATATCCATTGCAAGACAAAACCTTTTCCTAAGCAATTTAGATTGCATCTTTTGAGTACCTTCGATATATCGCAATTTCATCGGTTATTGAAAATTGCATATGAATGGCAATTATGGAAAACATTATGCTTTTCTTATAGTAAAAAATTGAATGGCTGCACTGATGGCAGTTGATTTTTCCCAAAATCTCACATAGACAAATTGAAAAATAAACAGAGAAATAATTACTCTTTTTTTTAAATGTTAAATTTTTCTAAAAATTTTCCTTTTTTTGAAAAAACTTAAAAGTTACAGTTTCTTAATGAAAAATTGTATCTCAAATGCTAAATGATGACATGCATGCGCGTTTTTATTCTTTGCCGGAAAATTTATGAAACTGGCCACATTTTTGGGGAGCGAGCATCATTGGAGTCTTGTAGGCTACATATCGCCACCATTTTTTTCGTTGACGTAATTTAAATGGTACCATAAGTTAGAAGCAACCTTGAGGCACCAACAAAATTAGCATAAATCTACCGCGGGTTGGTTCGAAACTTTTGAACGCCCATTTTTTTTTCAAAATTAACTGATGTTTAATTGAAACAGTTTCGAGAACATTGTGAGATGAGATGTCCTTTTAGATGTTGTTCTGCTAGTGTGTTTTTTGTAACTTTGTGTCTCAGCGTAATTCAAAATCAACCTATCAGTTCGTCTATGTCCATGAAAGAGATTCCAAGGGCAAGAAGTCCATTGGACTCAAATAGTGTACTACAATTTTAAATTGGCTAGTTGATACATCAAAGGTTTAAACCAAGTTT